CTTTCTAGATACCATTGATTGAACTACTCCCTTCTAAATTCATCTTCTTTAAATAGATCACCTGAAAAAGTATTATTTGTTTTTCTACACCAGTGGTACTTGTTAAGGTTCTAAAAGGTAACGGTTTAAACCCTGGTCTATATAAAGTTGACCTTATGTTAGATAGCATCATTAATTGGTAGTCCAAGACATACAGCATTTGGGTTCAGAAACGTCCTCACTTGGAATCGAACTAGCGACCGTTGAATTTTAAGGCTAGTAATAAAATCACTTGACTAATTAAATAGTAATTTTGAGTTATTTATTTGATGGTAATGTTTACCCATGTCAATATCAAATTTTATAGTTTTGTTCTTAAATTTACCACGAAAAAGAACCTATCAACTCGCTTAAACAACTTGGTCTCAATGGTTACAGCTTTTTATTAACTAAGACATGAAGCACATATGTAGTTAAACATTTTAACATAATTATACTGACTAACGTAAAAACATGAGAAATCCCTTAACAGGCTTCATAGAACCTAACTGCACTAAAGACTCCTCGAACGTTTCAAACGTCAAATCTTTACTGTAATTTTTGTACAAAGTAAACAAGGTTTGAAGCAACGCGGAAACCTTCTTTAGTAGTGTAAATAATAATATAAAAGTGAAATAAACTGTATTATCGAGAATATTTATGGGCCCAATAACAGTAACACTACACCACAAAGTATTAGGCCTTAATGAATATAGGCTTATGAAATACAAACTAAGGGTAGAGGAAACGAGAATCTCTGCATAGCTACCGCAATGTTCATTGTAATCTTAAGCTTTGTTTTATAGATATCCGCAACGTTGAGACGATACAATCTTGTACCCATTATTAACTAGAGACTTTCGAATTGAGTTAGCAAAAATTTGGTTGCTCTTATGCAAGAAGGAAACGCAAAAATTTAATAGTTTTAAATAATTTTGATCTACTGTAATTAATGTATTTTTATGAATTTTGCACATATACATCATTATCACAACACAGGTTAGCCTGGTGATTAAGATATAGACTACTATTTCACAAGATACATCTTCAAATTCCGCTAATCATGAATCGCAAATCTAGAGAAATATAGGTTAACCTTAACACAAGAGCATATTTGTATGTTTTTAGCAAATTTCCCTGTAGGAAGTAGGTATTACCGTAGGTGGCAAGGTAAGACCTAGACCCGGGACCGATTTACTTTTTCATTTTGAAGTCCCCAGAGGCCAAAAACAACATTATGAAAGGTGTAAGGTGGGATGAACTTGAATGAGCTCGCGAACCACCATGATCGGACCATGGGAACACGGTGATTTATGGGGTAACATTTTTTTTGAGCCTCAAAACAAAATATTTTCCAATTTTTCTCGAGACTTTTTTACAGAGCTTAAAAAAGAAAAAAATACTAGGCCTATATTAGGCCTAAAGTGTTTTTGTACGGTTATTGGTAACGGAGAAAATTAAAAAAAAATCTAAATTTAAGATTCCCATGGTATTCTTATGGAGAATATTATAAAAGGTTGTAGTTTGCTTATTTATGGATATATTTTGATCAAACTTGGCAAATTTATTTATTTAATACTAAGGTATTAATATTTTACAAATATCCTCACTTAATTAGTTTCCTTGGGGCAGAAAACCTAGGTACTCGTTAAACCTAAGGTTATTTAAATAAATTTAATTGAAAAAAAAAAATTAAATCAAATGGAAATTCACTTAGTCGACAGGTTTGCTGCAGCGGGGGTATTACATTTTTACATTTGGTAATGTTTATTGGTTAACCTTGTTCAACAGAGGAGAGTTTACTTCTTTTGCAGAACACCTGACAACAATAATTTAAATTTAATCTTTTTTATAAACTACTTTTCAGACTTATGTGGAGAACAAAAGGTTAAACAAATTATCTAAGCCTCTTAAAAATACAAAAATCTAAACGCAAAGTAGAGTTTTATTTTGAATCCTGATGAATCTGGAAAATTAATATTTAATTTTAATTATGTTCAAGTTTTTCAATTTTCTATATTGGTATTTGGCACTCCCTAGTTAGACCGGAAATGAACTTAATCCACATACGTCTCACACTTGAGTCAATCAAGTGTTCAACTTTTTCAGAAAGTTCCTGAGAAAAACAAGTTGATAAATGAAAAGTTAAACAGAAACCACTTTACTAGAGACAACTTGAGTTGTCAAACTATATCCGATCCCTCGCTTTATTTGATTCTTCTAAAATAATGTTTCCAAGTTTTGTTCTTTAAGGAAATATTCTAAAAGCTAAAAAAATGCAATAAACATTCACATCTAAAATTATGATATAGCTAGTTTGAACAATGTACAAGCCACAAAACGAATCCATTTGAACACGTCGCACATATTATTCCTGAGCGTCAAAGGAATTGCGAGAATGGATGGCTAAGTTATTGGGTTCTCTTGCACCGAAATAATACCCGCTTCAGACAATCTACACCACTCTGCATTACAATCCAAACATATCCCGTGTTTGTATTTCAAACACGTTTAACGTTCTTGGATGTTAAACTCTGTTTAAGAGAACAAAGAGCGATTTCGTGAACATTTTGGAACAGAGTTTAACATAACAGTTCCATTCACCTTAGTTATTTATGTATTGCATAATTTATGTGTTAGTGATTTATTGCCAATTTAAAATTGAACATGAGTGCTGCAGTGAGTTTAAGGTGAAAAATCAAACCCATTAGTGATTGAAAGTATAGTATTATTTCCACAAATGAAAATACAATTGATGAAATTATATTTTTTGACATTATGTTATAGATAAAAAGACTAATATGTTTGGAATTCTCTAGTATAGTGTAAGTAATCAAGTTGTCCTTATGTGACCTATTCTTTGGAGGTTTTATTTTTTTTTGATTTAGCTCAATGTGAAATCCGTACCTCTGCGACAAGCTATTTTCACGTAACCGATTTATTGATAATTATCTGGTTTTGAACCAGAGAGTCCTAAAAAAAATTAAAGCTTTGACAAATTGACAAGCTGCACCTCACTCTTGTCGTCTAAATATTCTTAAAAAAATATTATAAATAGTCTAAAATTCCAACCTCTCGTATCGTCCCATATTAACGTTTTAAGCATACAAACTTCAATATTCAAGATTCATCAACTAGGGCCCATCAAATAGCCGAGGTCTTTTAAGCAGCCAAACTCTACTTAGTGGACGAAGGCCAAGTAGACTTTCGCGTGTTGATAACACCTGATGTCTTGATGACAGTTAAGTAAAACTTCATGGCTAACTTGGACGAGTACTGTAAACTTCACTACAACTTTTGGCCTTTGTCCAAACACATAAGTGAAATGGTACTTACATTCCCAAGGCCATTTATATAGTAAGCTTAAGAGTAAGAAAATCGTTCACCAACTTTTTTAACCTCCCAAACTAAAAAGACATATTTAACTGTAAACCATTTTGTTTCCATCAACTACTGGTATCATAGTATGAACTAAACCCTTTGACTATCAATCAATAATCAATGCTAAAACCCTCAATTCTCCATTTAAGTAAAATCATAAGAATAAAATATATTATAGTTAGTTGTGATATAATGCAAAACAATTTAATATTGTTGCATTGTAAACGTAGACGATCTTTTGGCAACATTTTAGGGAGTGGAGAAACTACAATAACATACACCTACAGTATAGCTCCTAGTGTTTCAATTAGAATGTCATTTAATTCGTAACTTCCACAGCAAAGAGGAATACAACCTGATTATAGTTTGTATCAAAAGATTCATTGAAATATACAAAAACCAACATATGTTTTAATATGTAATTTAAAGACTCCATTTTAACCATAACAATTGTTTGAGTTGATAGAATAGCTTGTTAACAGATATATTTTAAATTGTATTATGTCATATGTTAGAGAAACAAAGAGAGATTAAAGTGTCCAACACTTTGATACCTATTGTTATAATACAGTCATTAAGTTTGCTCTGATTCTACACTTGTATCGTATGTATATCGTGTCCTGATAACTATCATGTAAAGATTAAAGATTGTATACATGGATATGTATGGTATTATGGTATTAATAATTTACCGATTGTCCGATGAAAATCAACAGTTACATCCCTTGATATCGACTCTTGTACATGCAATAAACTCATTCATGCTTGCGACACATTCAAAACACCCTGAGCTGAAACGCAATTCAACGTATCTATAGACAAACAATATGTAATATATCAATAAAATCAAAATATTGACTATGAGGAAATTCCTTAGAAATACGATGGCCCTCATAAAATTATGTAATTGTTGTGACAAATAGTTATTATATATCATGCTTTTAAATATTCAGTAGAAATGCGATAGTAACATTATTACGCAGTACAAATTGGTTGCAGGACTCAGAACACCTTGAGTAAAATACTGCATCCACATGTAGAATATTGTAACAAATTTCACGCTTCGGGCATCTACAAAATGAATTGTAACAAGTGTTACAAGTTTCGAGTTGTTACAAGTTTCGAGTTGTTACAAGTGTTTGTAACACATAATAGTGTATGAATGTTTACATCGGAAAAACTGTAAACTTTTTTAAACGTTTCAAAAACCACACATGTAATTGGAGAAACAACAAATCGGAAAGATCAAATATCGCACAACACTTGATCAAAATGGCCACTCATTAGGGAAAGACAATGTATGTTTTTTAAAGAATTGTAAGAAAGAAAATGTGATGATTGCTTGGGAAGAAGGGACGCCATTGGGATTCTTCTCATTTACCTATTGGGTTTGTTGATGATTAAAGTGTCTAATCGAAATCGATTACCTCTTACCACATCTTTTACATGTATTTACCGTTTTGTGAGTCAACATTATAGGTGTAAATATATTATTACATAGACGGATATCTTTTTTTTTGAGATTAATGTTGTATCACCAACAATTTCTAAACTAGCATCTTAAAAGAAATTGAATTTTTATTTAACCTTTTATGTTTCAGATTACCGTTCGTTGATGTGACTCTCAACCATGTCTCCTCATCCCGTCTCTTCGTCAACGTCCGTTGTCCACTTGCGCCCGACGAACTGCGCCAGCAGCGTGACGTAACAAATGGCGTTCAAGTGATAGTGGCCGTGCGCAATTCGGTCGGCTTAACAAAACTTGGCAGTGCGGTGCCAGAATTGATTGTGTGTTTATGGCGTGTAGCAATCCAACATAATGGCTTTGCAATATAATTATCCGCGATATCCGAGACATCATGGAACTAACAGTGATCCTCTGCATGGATCGGACTCTGACGTGGCGGCTTTGTCAGATCTGGAGGACGACGATGAGGAGGACGAGGACGAAGGGGAGGAGGAGGAGGAAGAGGAACTCCCTTATCCAGGGTTCGTCGCGATCTCCATGAAATACCTGGATCAGACGTCCCGACCGAGGAGCTGGTGTCTGGCGATGATCACGAATCCATATCCTTTTTATACAGCAGAAGTAAACTAGGGTGCAGGAGTGTATTTAAAATTGGTAAATGCCTTATGGTATGCGAGAATGCAAAATTGCAATGTAGACAATAATTTGAGCAGGCGTGACTGAAACGTGTTCTAAAGTAGTCAAAAGCACATAAACATTATATAGGGAATTTTTAGAGTGTTTACATCTAAAAATTTACTTAACTGAATTTGAGTTTGATTAAAAATATACCTGATCATACATGATGATAACGAATCCACATCCTTTACAGCTAGTAAACTAGGATCAAAGGAAGTACAATTTTAATATTGGGTGAATGGGTTGAATATAATATGTATAAAATAATTTTCTTTTAGATTAGATCGTAAACTTTAGGTACGATAAGGGCTTTACTTTTTAACTAAACAAAATTCCGAAATTAAGTGATTTTTTGTGGTTATATACACTAAATATAATGCCATTTCTATTAATATTGTTCATACCATTGACTGCATTATATTCAATGGTCATACGTACGCGAAGTTGAAATATAAATATGTCTTAGTATATTGACATGCAAAATAATTATTCACAAATCCAAAACTATTAGGCCTAATCACAGTAATTTCAAACTCTAAAGCCATATTTTCAACACAACTCTAATTTACTATGGGGGTTTTCTTAGTTTTACTTCTGCAAAATGTGTTTTCTAATTCCAACAGCTATCTCCTCTACTATTGCCCTCTCTTCATCTGATCTTCAAAAATATTTACAGGTAAGATTTGTATTTAGCTATTTAGCAATATGAATGGTATGGTTGATTTAACGATAATTGTTAATATTACAGTAAACTATTTTTAACAACATTTTGTTTTTAAAATAATTTTTGAAGCCTCCATATAGTAGTGTATAACCTTGGAGATTATGAACCTATAAGTGAGACAAAGGCAGTTTAATATTATTTCAGTACCTTTTATGGTACCGTGTGATGTATTTTTTAACACATTTTATACGTTATCATTTATAAGCAGTACTCGTATTATCTTTAAAACTTATACGACTAATCACATCAAACTACTGATCAACCTTTGGTATAACAGCCAAAGGGTGGAGCTCACCGTGTAAAATGATCCTAAAATAGAGACACATTCAGTCTACCACCACGTATTGTAGCGGAACAGGATATGAAACAGTGCAAACAAGTTTCAGACTGTCATCGAAACACTAGTTGCTATTGGCATTGACTTTGGATACTGCAAGTAAACTCTCGACCTATTTTACCATGTTTATTTGTCTTTCAACAAAACTGGTATTTCTTTAAGTTTTTTTTTGTAAGGAACACTTGTTTTCTGTAGTGGTATCTAATGACGACTTTTAACTAAAAAATATATGTATCTGTGGTTTATAGATAGAACCATTAATTGATACAAATAGTGTCTGAGTCTTAAATAGATCTTCATATTTAAAGAAGAGCACTAAAACTACTCGGGAACCCAGAGATTTAATAGGTACCTATATTGACTATTGGAGACTGAAGTAGACATCCCATCTATATGGATAAGCAGTTGTCGTTTTTTATAAAAAGAAGAAATTAGTTGAGTGATCCAGTCACAGAATGCGCTCTATTTCCTACCTTACCTTTTTTCTATCAATAATCAAAAATACCACCCTTATCTATTTAATAAATAAAATACTACCAAATATTCCTAATTCTAAAATATTCAGACAAACAAATAACTATGTTTCGTAACGTATTGTACCCCATCAATCATTACTAGTTTATTGGATCTGAGCAGCAAACAACGGTGTAAAATTCAAGATCGACTTTTATGCTCCGTAAACTCTAATGCTTAATGAGGTTTGGTTTTAAACGGTCGTAATCTTGTTTGCTGGTCCAGAACTGGGACTGGTGAGCCGCGAACTAGTGTATAAGGTCTGTATTCATTGCTAGTGTAAACACTTGTATTGAACTGATTACACATTTTAAACGTATAAGGACCGTAGAGGGATCGTATTAAAAACATTTAACAATTATTTTGTTTTTATTTTGAGTTTGTCAACGCTATTGCAATTTTCCTGGGTTTTTGTAAGGGTCCTAACCCTGTTGTTACTGTCTTATCCCAACCCTTAGTATCATTAATTGATGGCCCAGTGACACACAATGGTATCTGGTTCAAGAATTTAGTTTGCTTGTAATTGAACTAGCGGCCTTCAGATTTGAAGGGGAGCATTATAACCACATGTTACTCGTCTGTAGTTCGTCATTATTTCCATACCGAATCCAATAGCATAGAAAAATACTTAAGAAAAATCAATTCCATTTAGTAGTACCATTGGTTGTGGAATTGTGGATACTGAAATATTCATCTCGTGTGTATAGACTAGTTTATTACACAAAGTGTATGTTGAACAACCCACTCATAAGAGTACTACTATTGAATTTATATTTATTGTTTAGTTTTTTACACTGTGACGGTAATTCGGGATGTAAACTTTGGTAATTATAATAATAAAGGGTCATTTCATCTAAGCAGGACTATAAAGTTAGAATATTGGAATGGAAAGGGTGTCTCAGCACCAAACATTGTCGGTGTATTTGTAATAAAATTGGTTACAGCTTCAAAATGTGGATGATGATGTATACTTCATGGCACTATATATTTAGTCGATGGTTGATTGTCAACTTTTAAAAAATTCAAGAATATTTTATATTCTGTTATATATAAGAAGGGGGTTCCCTACCTCGAACTGTTTTCAATTTTCTGCGACCCCGGTGAGTTTAGTTGGAACTACAAGACGACAAAATATTACCTAGGATTGCTGTCTGCTGGTCCATTTAACATTATTGTGGTCCCTCCGCGAGACAGTAGTTTCGATAAAGGCCGCTAGAGTCCGTCAGAATCATAGCACTTTTCGCCGTGCAAGGTTTTACGCGGTTTCATTTTGCACATACAAAAAAAATCTTTTCTTGAAACTAAAAGTTACTTGATATTTTTAGTTAAATTTCGCACTAATATTGCTTTATTAAAAATCGATAATTTCATAAAAAGATATTATTATTTAACTGTAAAGTTCACTAACTTTGACAAGTCGTTGCCCTTGATTGCGTAAGCATAGACATTTTTTAAAAAGCAAACTTAGTAGAACCACTCTTTATGTACAAAATGGTGTTTGGTTCACAATTTAAATGTCAAAACTAGAATCGCTATATGATACCGCGCGAAGCGGTTTTCTGACGTTTTGTGAAAAAGTAAAATAAATCATAAACGAATCATGTTTCCTTGGAATAGTTAGGTTATCTGTTTAGAAATATTTTTTCATATAATTTTGCTAGTTTTCTGTTTACTAAAATTTTTTCACCAATTGCAATTTTTAATTATTTGGCAACGAAGGTTGGTTTGGTTCCGAATTAAATTTTCCAACAACACGAGGTATGCAAACATCAAAGTGAAATATTTGGTTGGGGACCACAAATAAACAGATTGTATTGGTACATTTTAAACCACGATGTCAGAAGAGTCTTTGATCTACAATAAACATGCATTTTCAACACAAAGTTTATGATTGGTTGAAGGGTTAAAGGAAACACTCGCAATACATGTAATATTCGAGTCCAAATGTTGTTGAGTATTCATGGGAGATGTTAAATCGCTTGTGATTACGACTTGCATGTCGTGACTTGTATGCAATCAAAGAATAATTGAAACAATTTAAAATTATAAAAATAATAAATCGCCTAATCCAATCTAAATTGTCAATGATAACTTTATTACATTCGCTCTTTTAGGTTAGCAGAGAAGATTAGGTCGGGAATTGATTATTATTGGCGTTTTCTTCGTCATATTCTGTGATCAGTTAATCTGTATTTGTTATTTGTTTACCAGCAATCGTTTCTCGTGGTATGATTCTTTTCTTTAAACGAAGACGTGTACCTCATTCAAGTTTGGTTCAAATAGTATTTTAACATAATTTTATCATCAATACAATCTACTCTTATATTAGTTCAGTTTCAAAAGATCTTAGCACAACTATACAGTTATGCTAGACCGATTTTATTAAGTAATGGGTCGTTGGAAAAAAAGCTCACTTACTATCAAATAATTATTTGCTCACAGACTTGCAAATAATTATGAAAAATAGTTTTTGTTAGTATTTAAGGTGAAAAAACATGTTTCCGAAACTAAATACATTGAAAATAGGGGTTTTTACATTTTTTATTTAGAGGAAAATTTTTGGTGCCTTTTAAGATTTTCAAAAAATGCTGAAATAATCATACTTTGTAGGAAATTTGATTCTCTTTTATAATATCAACTTTTGGAGATTTTTCACCATTTTAAAGTTATTTGCAAAAAGGCTAAGCAATCTTCAAATTTATAGTGGTGAGAAAATACTGAATTAGAGATATTATTGCTAAACTTTGTACAACTAAATCTAAAATGGCAAATTTTATCAATTAATAGGTCAATGAAAAGCTTCATTCGTGTAGATTTGCAAATATGAAAGTTTTAAAATTCTTAGAAAGATATATAGTTGTAATGGGTTTGCCGGTATGCATCATCTAATCAAATGAAACATGTGTTAATAATATAACAGCTGATTCTTGCATTGTTATTTCCTTGAATTCTCTTTGTTAACATTTTGTTGTTCACAATTTGAATTTGTAGTTAAAAAATGTTTTCTTACGTTATGTGTTTAATCTGTATACCTTCCTTTTATTATTAGTGAGTAAAGTAGTACAATGTATGTACAATGTAGTACAATGATATGTCATGTATTTCATAACCATTATTTAACTTTATACCGTAGTTGTATTTAACCAGAACGGACTCTCTTGATACAAAAATTAAATACAATAAATACAAGAATGCTGCTAACTATGAGCTGTAAGTAGCTCGAAACATCTACAGCACGAACAACACATACATTATGATATCGTAAAAAATAGTTAATGTGTCAAAGGCATGTAAATTAGAAATTAAAAAAATAGTCATCAACGATCAAGAGTTGGATATGATTTCAGGTATTTCGCAATTGTTTGATAAAAAGTGTAC